CCCCAAAACCCCAAAACCCCAAAACCCCGATTTTTAGGGAAAAAGCTATATATAAGACTATAAATTAAAAATATATGTGTGAGATATTTAAATGCTCATTAATAAAAGCTAGATGTGCTTTCAATAAGGTCAACTAAAGTTGCTCATAAATTAGGTATATCTTCAGTTTGTGCCTGAAAATCAGTACTCTTCTGTTACCTTTTACTTTCATACTGTATTAGTGAAACTCTCTCAGTCATTACTCCTGGTCTCTAATGCTTCAGTGGCAATCTAGATTACTTAAGTGAGCTCCCTAAGTTAATTCTTTCCATTTCATAGAGTCTTCCCATTGTAAACATATCCTATTATTAGTTTATCTTCTCGACTGTGTTCCCGATACTGTTTCTTTGGGATGCACTTGAAACCTAAACGGGTCTCCCTCCTTATCTGAGTAAAGTTTCGACATTTATGATTTAATCTTTCTTTATTTAAGCACACTCGCTTGACTTTGGAATGAAATTTTAGTTTGTCTTAGAGAAGATCACCTGTCTCTTTTCTTTCTCAACTAGTCTTTCTACTATTTCCTGTGCCTAATTTGGGGCTGCAATACTTTTATGAAACTACTAATAAGCCATCTTATTCGAGTAAACCTAACTATTCATTCCATAGTCTATAATATTCTTTATTATGTTGATGTTGTTGTTTGATTTACTACTTCTATTCTATGGGGAAGATTGAAATTGCTAGTAGTTGATATCTTGTTTGTGATAAACCTTATTTAATGGCTCATCAGGATGAGTAAATTATTTCGGGGGACTATGTGTATTTTTACTCTTTCTGGTTAAGAAAGTAGGTGTCTCAAGTCTCTTTAAATCATCTACTCTTTAAGTTTTAATGACCTCTATTCCTTGTAGAAATTTACTTATAGAGGCAGAGGTTGCTGTTTAATTATGATATTTCACTTTGCTGACAGGGCTATTCTCAGTCATTGATTACTATCTCTTGGGTACTCCAAACATACTTTTCAACTTTTTATTTTAAAGAGGTAACTGTCTTCTTCGCTTTACTTGGCTCTTATTGAAACTGTCACTCTAGTCTCTAGTTGTCATATTCTCATTGAAGTAAATGATGTCAGTTCCGCCAAATAAATTAAATTCCTTGAACTAATCTATTGATGTTTATGCGACTTAATCATTCCTGGAAAATGTTGCACTATCTATTTACTCTCCTTAATCAATTTTATCGAATACATCAAGTAGATTCTTAATTTTCTATTCAGTCAGACCATCCTTTAACTTATCTTCAAGTGGGCTCTCTTTTGGTTTGGTTTTTGGTAAATTTTTACTGTTTAGTATTTTGTCTAATGTGATCTTATCATTTTGAGAATTCAGACTGCTTCTGCGTCTCACTGGAGAGCCTTCACCAAAGCTTAGATCTTATTGACTTTAATCAAAGTTAGAGGTATCCTGAAGATTTACAGACGATTCTTGGCCAATATTTCTGCCTAAAAACATCTATTGCTTCCTAGATATCAAAGGTTTTCTATTTGATAGATTGAGTCTTTTCTTTAAATCAGCTGAGGCTCTTTATTAATATTGCTAATACCTTTGAGTATCTAATGTTGTTGGTATTCTATGATTGTTTCTGCAGACTAATTCTTCCGATCTCATTTTAGCTCTTTAGATTTGCCTTCTCTTCATCTTGAGAGCTGTCTTTAGTCTTAGATTGTCAGTGTATAAATCATCTCCGTTTTTAAATTCATAATCTTTACTATGAATTAGGGCATAATTATTCATATCTTCAAACATATCAGCCACCTCCTCGTCATTTTCACTGTCATCTTCTTCTATTAACCCACCAATAAAGAAGCTATTGTTTCCTTTCCGATTGAATGATAAGTTCCAAGCACGAGCAATAGAGCTCTTGTCATTATTGACCAGCTGTGGAATGTGGAATTAGGAATCTGGATTTTTGATTGAATTTTGATTTGAATTCAAGTCATTTTGATTCTTCTATTTTTTACTGTCTTAATAATTATTCAGTTAACTCAATCGATTGACATTTTAGCTCGACAAGTTTTTTCTATGGAAATATTTGAAAGGAGTAATTGGTGTCTTGAATGGCGTATTTTATTTCTTGTTTTCATATGGTCCATTGCTAGTTGGCACTTAGTTATCAATCTAATAGGTTGACTTGATGTTTTGCTTTTGCTGCAATGTGATATTTGTGGGTGCGCCAAAAGTTCTAAGTTCAACTGCATTCTACGGGATAGCTAAATATTCAATCTTTTTCGAGTTGTTGAATCCCCTGCTTCCAGTGCTACTTTGTTTAGTGGCTGGAGAGTGCATTCATGATTTATTAATCTAGTGAGTAGAAGGCTCCTCTAGCCAAGAAGAGGAGGCAATCGAACTTTGGTGAAGTCTTTCCATAGATTATGGGGCTCTAAAATAATCTGTCGAGCCACCTCCTTACAATATATTTGAAGTATCTTACATTATTAAATTTATGTTAAATCAGCGATAAAATATTTATTTCTATAATTGCTCTCTGGTTTATTTTTTCTAAATAAGGTTATACGGGGTTTTGGGGTTTTGGGGTTTTGGGG